ACACACACACACACACACACACACACACAATTGGATTGGTCACTGAATGGAAAACATGTACAATTACTAAAGCAGTAAACCTGAACCAGAGGAAGACAGTGATGGTGAATATGTTGCGAAGGCCGTGGGAACCCCTGAATCGTGATTCAGCACTCTGTGAGTGGACAGCTCCTCCTCCCAGCCCCAGGGCTCCTAGGGGCCTCTCTCCAGCAGCACGGGTCTCGGACAAATTCACAGGCAACTGGGGGTGTCCACAATGGTCTGAGATGGAAGAGGAGGGGCCGCCCTCAAGAAGATAGATTGACATCCTTTAATTGTGTTCTTCAGGTCAAGTCTCCAGGGACAGAGATTTTGTTGGCTAAAATCAATCATCACTGTAGGCACACTGAGAAACCCTAGGGTTTCCTCGCATCGATCGGGGAGACTTGGCAAGTCCTGCCTGAGCAGCAGAAAGACTAAAGGGACCAAAATCTGAGACATTGCCAAGGTGAGCTGACCTGCCTGAAATCCCACCATTGTGGTCACTCTGGGTGGGCGTCAGTGCAGGTGCATGCACAGTCTTAGCCAGACGGGATACTGGGGGACAGAAGAATGGGACCAAGGTGATCAGAGCTGGGGACGGGGTCATCCTGGAGACCCGAGCAAGTGCCTGGGTGTCTGGAAGAGGGACAGGGGCATCATCAACAGCCGACGATGGGAGTGAGGATGCTGCTCCCTAGAGAGGACCGTGAAAGGACCGCGTGCACTGGACTTCCTTCATGATCCTGCTTAAGCCAGTTCAAGTAATGAAGGTCAGGGTTCTATGCCATGCCCCTGCCAATGACTGCTCAGTTGACCATCGCTGACCACCTGATAAAGCCCAGACTCTCTTCTGCCAACAGTGACCCATGGCCTGGCCTCTGCCAACATCCTAAGCCCCTGTTCATGACGCTTCACATCCTTTCTGCTCCAGCCACACTAAATTACCCCTGTAACCTCATCACTGGATGTTTGCACATGCTGTACCCAGTATGGGTTGCCCTTCACTCTTTCTCACCTTATTCCTCCAAATTGTCCCCTAGGGTTCAACTCAGTTATGACCTCCTCTGAGGTGTCTTCCCTGAATGCCACACTCTCACCCCAACTGCAAATAACAAATGTTTTAGTAAGGGTGTTCCCTGCGGTGTCCCAAAGCCAACTGTCTGGATGGGAATTGCCTGTTTTAGCCTTCCCCTCACCCAGTGAGACTGTCTTCTGTCCATCCCTGTATCTCTGGCACCCAGCACAGAGCCTGGTACAAAGCAGGCACTTGGTTAGAGCTGGATGGAATCAAGGATAATGGCTTTAAGTTAACATCACAGAAGGCACATTCTTTGCAGAAAGTCACCAGATGCCTTGCCTATCCTCACAAGGCTCCGTTCAAAAGTCTTACATGAGCAAGAAAAGATGCATAACAGCATCACCTATCATCAGGGAAACACAAACCGAAACCACAATGGTGCACCACTTCACATCCCTTTGGATGGCCTCCATCAAATCACAAACAAGACCAAAAACCTGAAAATGACAAATGTTGGCATGGCTGTGGAGACACTGGGAGTCTTGTGCACTGTTGGCAGGAATATAAAATGGTGCACCCACCATGGAAAACAGGGTGGCATTTTCTCAAAAAATAACAAATAAAAATTAAACACAGGTGACCCTATGACTCAACAATTCCACTTCTGGGTATATACCCCCAAAAGAAATGAAAGCAGGGTCTCACCTATGTGCATAGCAGCCTTGTTTTATAATCGCCAAAAGGGAGAAGCAGCTCAAGTGTCTGCTGACAGGTGGATCCACGCACAGTGGAATGAATACAAGTCATCCTTACAAGGAAGCCAAATCCGACACAGGCTAAGACACAGACGAACCCTGAGGACTTACGCTAAGTGCAATCGGCCAGGTGCAAAGGGCCGAGAACTCTGGGATTCTGCTTATATGAGGTTCCTAGAGGGGTCGGATCTACAGAGACAGAAAGTAGAATAGCAGTAGTTGGGGCTGGGGGTGGGGGGAGAATGAGGAGCTAGTGTTTCATGGGGGACAGAGTGTCAGTTTTTCAAAATGAAAAAGGCTCTGGAGACGGATGGTGGTGCTGGCTGTACAGCAAAATGAATGTGCCCCATGCCACTGAACTGTGTGCTTAAAAATGGTTAAGATGATAAATGTCAGGCTGGGTGAAGTGTATTCTCCCACAGTAAATAGCATAAAAGCCCTGCGTGCAGAATCCGAGAGCCGGAGTTCAAATCCCAGCTCTGCCAGAACCTCGTTGGGTGGTGATGGGCTCAGTCGCCTCCGCTGTAAATGGGGCTAATTCCCAGAGTGGGAAGTCTTTATCTCCGGAAGGCTGTTCCAGGTGAAGGATCTGTAATTCTTTCACATCGTGCCTGTTCTGCGATGAGAGTTTGCACATGTACAGTAAAAGGCTTTTGCTAATTTTGTTTCGGGAACACAAGTATCCAGCAGGTGCCCACCTAATGAGTGTACGTCATTAGGAAAGAGTCTTGTTGACGCACCTATTAGGCACACAGGGGACCTCATCGAGGCGGGTTTAGTCCCGGACAATGAATTCTCTCTGCTGCCATCTAGTGTCTGGTGACTGTATTGACCTTTCCTGGCTGTCAAACTTGTCTTCTTAAATCCTGAGGTCTTAACTGCTTTGCACACAGAGGCTGACAGTTTGCCCACCCAAGCACGTGTTCATGTATAATTCATGGTGTATCACATTGCCTGGCGAATGAATATTTATCAGCTTTTTCATAAGAGGCAGGATGGTGTTTCCTTTTGTTGCTACCAAAATTCTATGCTGTAGCAAATGAAATTTGTGAGCAAATAAAAAGAGAAGAAGCGAAAACTCCCAGCCAAGTCCATGCCACTGGTAATTTTCCATTTTCCAAAGCCCTCCAGCATGTGTATGGAGGTGGCTTCGGTTTGGCTACAAGAGAGAACTGCTGAGTCGTCCAGAATAGAATCGCCCCATATGCTATACCTACTGCCCCCGCAGAAAACTCCCCCACACCCCACTTCTGTGCTGTTTTCAACGGCAGACGAGCCCAAGACCATTCCCGTGGCTCTGCTCCAGAGTCTCTGAATGGAGATCAAGTGTGGGAGTGACCAAGGATAAGGGGCCCCAAATGAAGACTGGTCCAGACAGGACGCTGGCATCAAGGCAGTCTCACGACTTCCCAAATGGGCTTCCACCAAGGGAGGGGATGTCCCTGCAACACGCCAGCTGGGTATGCCCCCGTCCCCGTGGTGGGTGAGGAGGGCTGTGTAGAAGGTACTGCCTTGTCCGGGAGGAGTGCCCCGTGCCCTGGTCCTCACTGCAGAGAAGAGCCAAGAAGGGGCATAAGAATGGTGACTTTGTTTACTCTTCTTTCCTCATGACTCACTGACTGAGGATTCCAATGCCGATGATCTCAGACACCCATGGACACACTCATCTGGAGGTAGAGTCTCAACGTGGTTGTGAACATGGAGTCCGTGTGGCTTGGCTCCCATTGCTCTGGGCTTACAAGAGGAGGCTGATGCCCAAACGGATGTTAATGCTGATGACAGTAGTTTACACATGCTGAGCAACTCCACTATTGCATGTAATCCTCAAAACACCTTCTGCAGGTAGACAGTATTAGGTGTGCCCACTTTACAGATGACCTAACTGAGGCAGAAAGATGAGGTCACTTGCTTACATCCACGCAGCCCCAGCTAGGAGTCAACTATGGGTCTGTTTGACTCTGGAGCCCCGCTTTCTCGACCGCCCCCAACCCCAGAAGCAAGAATCTCAGGTTCAAGGACAAAACCCATAAATGCTTGGCTGTGTGGCCTCGGGGGAATCAATCCAGCTTTCTGAGATTCCACTTTCTCATCTGCAAAAAGGGATGCGATGGTGCGCACTTTGCAAGGCTACCAGGAAGATGCGGCTTTGCAAATTCTAAAGAGCTCTGTACTCGTTGACAGGCCAGTGGCCATGCCCAGTGGAAATATTTATGGAAGGTTTGGCATTGGGGAAAATGCAAGGTTCCAGCCAGAGGGGTATAGGAGTTTATGGTGGAGGTGGAGAGAGGAGACATGCAGGAGCAGAAATACAAGGTTAGGCATTTGCATGCATTCATTCATTCGTTCGGCCAATGATTTATTGAGCTCTTGCTATGACCCAGAAAATGCACAGGAAATGAAAAAATTTCAAACAAGGGAAGTGCTACCCACACATTAGAACAGGCTGATATGAAGCTAAGCTCTGAGCCGGCATCTGAATAGCAAGAGGACACTAGCCACACAAATACTGAGCAAACAGCGCTCCAGGCAGAGAGAACAGTCAGTGCAAAGGCCCTGAGGTGGCCTTCATGGCGATTCTCTTAGAAGGGGTCTCCAGTGTGAAATACTTCCTGAATATTGGGGACTATGAAGCTCTCTTTTCAGGGACTATTCCAGGGGGAGTTGGAACTCCTTTTGAAAATAATGGCTTTGCAACTTGCTAGGGACCCTATGGGGGGAAGGGGGAGAGAGGGCATATGCCCTAATTTTCTTCCTGCAGTCCCTCATGCCGGCTTTTAGGAGGGCCATTCCTAAGGGACAGTGTAGGGGGTGCAGTCTGGAGAGGGGTCAGAGACAAACTTCACGCTGCCCTCGGGCCGCCTGGGTGGCTCAGTCGGTTAAGTGTCTGACTCTCAGTTTTGGCTCAGGCCATGATCTCACAGTTTGTGGGATCGAGCCCCACTTCAGGTTCTGTGCTGACAGTGTGGAACCTGCTTGGGATTCTGTCTCTCCCTCTCCCTCTGCCCCTCCCCTGTGCATGCTCTTCTTCTCTCTCTTTCTCTCTCGCAAAATAAATAAACTTAAAAAAAAAAACCTCACTCCGCCCTCATCTTTACCCCCAGGGCCTGGGTCTCAGATGTGCACCGGTCCAGATGCCCCCTTGGGACCATCCCCTATGGAACAGAAGCACCCGAGGCCACCACTCCCTCCCCCACTGCCGCACGTACCTTCCTCTCATCTATGCCTTCAGAGGCCGACCTGAGCTTCTTCGTGAGGACAGGGTCCAGCCCCTGGAATCGCCGTCGGAACTGAGCGAGGCCCACGTGGTCAGCATAGCCTGGGGGGGGGGAGGGCGGGGCAGGTGGCAAGCAGAATGAGGGGTCCGAGTGAGAAGGCCAGCCTGGGGCCTGGACTCACTCACAGGCGGCCCCCACCCTCCCTCCTTGGGGCCTCAGTTTCCCTACTTGTTAGGAGGTTGAATTCAATCAGCATTTCCCAGATGTGTTCCCTAGAACACAAACCCTATAAAGTGGTCCACTGAGGGGCACCTGGCGGGCTCTGTTGGTTAAGTGTCCCAATCTTGTTTTCATGCTCAGGGCATGAGCTCATGGTTCACCGGTTTGAGACCCGCGTCTGGCGCTGCACTGGCAGCGTGGATCCTGCTTTAGATGCTCTCCCTCCCTCTCTGTTCTGCCCCTTCCTCACTTATGATCTCTCTCTCTTTCAAAATAAATAAAGAAACTTTTTTGAAAAAGTGCTCCACTGAACATCTGGAAAAGCAGCACTGTGATTTACCTAGTGGGGGGACACGTTGTGGGCCAGGATCAATGCCAAGGGCCCTGTGGACCATTACAGGGAAGGTGTGGGATTGCCTTTACCACAGAGAAAATATTTTTTTGGTCCAATACTTATGACCACCCCACGTGTGGGAAACGCTGCATGGGTACTTTCGAAAGGTTTTTGAAACCTAACATGTAAGAGGGACACACGTGAACCCTCCTGTGTGGACACTCGGCAGAGGCATCTGGAAAGCTCCCGAGAGAAGGTGACATTAAAGCCAGCCTCTGAAGGAGCCGTAAGAGTTGGCCACAGGCTTGGGTGTGGAAGGGAAGTCCGGGTGGAGGGAGCCAGAGAGGAGAAACCCAAGGCTGGCTCCTTAGTCAGAAAAGAAACCAGCACTAGCTGAGCAGTGCGGTGCGTAAGGCACTAGATCAACAATGCCCTTGGGGTGCCTGGGTGGCTTAGTCGGTTAAGCGTCCGACTTTCGCTTGGGTCATGATCTCACGGTTCGTGGGTTCGAGCCCCGCATCGGGCTCTATGCTGACTGCCAGCTCGGAGCCTGGAGCCTGTTTCAGTCTGTGACTCCCTCTCTCTCTGACCCTCCCCTGCTCACGCTCTCTCTCTCTCTCTCCTAGAAATAAATAAAACATAAAAAAAAAAAAAGAAAGAAAAACAATGCCCTTGTGTCATAGACACTCAGGGGCCTCTATCATTATACCCATTTGATAGATGTGGTCACTGAGGCCCAGAGAGTTCAAGCCACCTAGCCCAAAGCTGCGTGGATAGTAACTCTCCCATCTGGGATTCAGACCGGGACAGAGACTATAACTAATCCAGTGGACGGTAGCCATCGATGAGGTCAAAGATGAGCAGGGACCAGATCCCAAAGGAACTTGAAGTCAAATTCCAGGCCTCAAGTTTGTAGATGCATTTAAAAAAAATTTTTTTTTAATGTTTTATTTATTTCTGAGAGAGAGAGAGAGACAGCGTGAGCAGGGGAGGGTCAGAGAGAGAGGGAGACACAGAATCCGAAGCAGGCTCCAGGCTCTGAGCTATCAGCACAGAGCCCAACATGGGGCTCAAATCCATGAACCACGAGATCATGACTTGAGCTGAAGTCGGACGCTTACCAAGTGAGCCACCCAGGCGCCCCTCTAGGCCTCAAGTTTGGACTTGGTCCTGAATACAAGGGGCATGGTAGACCCTTGGTTGCCTTAAAAAGACCCCTCCACTGGCCGGATGGGTGAAGGTCTGATGAAATCTGACTCCACTTTGAGAGTCACAGTGAGCCAAACGCACGAACCATGAGGAAGGATAGTGGTGGTAGGTACATGTGGCAAATCCAGGAAGCCTTCCTGGGGGAAGAGGATGGTCTCAGGCCAGGTTCCCAGGATGCTGACTGCACAGAGATAGGGGCTGGGAGGTTACACACGTGCCCTTTCGGATCAGAACGATCTGGGTTCACACCCCATTTCTGCCCTTCTTAGCCCCCTGACTGGTCACAAGGGACCCCATCTCTTTGAGATTCAAGTTCTTCATTTGTCAGGTGAGGATAACAAGATCCGGTCACTCTAAGGACTGAGACAGATGACCGACAGAGTAAAAGATGCTTCTGCGGATTGAATCTTTCCCATGTCCAGGTGACTCTTCTGTGAGCTGTAGTCTCTTATTAACAAACTGCTCGTCAGCTCTCTGACACCTGAGCTACTGAGGCAGAGGAAAGAGAACGATCTGGTGCTGGCCACAGTCACGCCCAGGCCAGGCGCTCCAGGGCCCAAGCCACACCCACCGAGCTGTACAATACGTAAGGTTTAATGAGCCTCTACTATACACCGGGTGCTGTGCTAAGGGCTTGGTAAGAATGATGACCGTTAGTATATGTAATGACACAGCACCAGCACATTGTAAGTACTCAGTGTCCTGCTTACACAGGTGTGTACTATGTGTGTGCACAAGTGTGTGTGTATATGGACTGTACGTGCATGAATTTGAAATCATAAATATTTGGGGCGCCTGGGTGGCTCAGCCAGTTGAGCGTCCAACTTCAGCTCAGGTCATGATCTCACGGTTCGTGGGTTCGAGCCCCGCGTCGGGCTCTGTGCTGACAGCCAGGTCAGAGCCTGGAGCCTGTTTTAGACTCTGTGTCTCCCTCTATCTCTGACCTTCCCCTGCTCACACTCTGTCTCTCTCTGTCTCTCAATAATGAATAAAAACATTTTAAAAATATTTTAAAATTTTAATTTAATTTAATTTAATTTCAATAATGAAATCATAAATATTTGATGTGTGTGTGTATCCATGTGCACAGGTAAATATTTCTTATCTGGTGTAAGGGAGACAGAAGCCACTTTGGGCAGAAAAAGAAAAAGGAATTGACCAAGCCTGGGAGGCAGAAACTGGACAGTCCTCTCATGAGACCTCACATCTGTACTTAGTTGGAAAATTCTTCCTGCCCAAGGCGGGCCGCTTTGAGAATGCAGAGGGCAGACACCCATCACGGTGAGGCCCCTGGCCGAGGACAGGGATAGTAGACCCGAGCATGCACATGGGGGTTTGAACGGGCGGTTCAGGGTGTCCCCAAAGGCCCGGCACCCCCTGCCAGCCAGCCAGCCAGAATCGACCTGCCACCGCTGTGACCATTTCGCTCTTCCCCTGTGACATTATCTGTCACCTCTCGACTGTGGTGGGGCGGGCAAGAGGAAAAATCAATGAGACACTCAGAAAAGTGAGGTCTCATTGTCTGGTGGCCAGGCTGCGGTTATTAACATGGTGGGAGGAGATGGGGCCGTGGCCACAAGCCAGGGAGCAGACTGGCCCACCGCCAGCCTCCCCGCTAGCCCCCATCACCCCATCTTCTGCAGAGACAATGGCCATGCCTGAGCCATCTCAAATGTCAGGGTGGGGATCCATGCAGTGGCCTCTGGGGTCGGAGAGACAGAAGAGAATCAGAAGGATTCAGAGAGAACTCAACTGCTAAGATGAGCCCCCACTCATTTTGAACCTTGGTCCCTGAAAATCCAGGCTTTTCCTTGCCTCAGGACCTTTGCATATGCTGATCTGTGTGCCTAGCATTCTACCTCCCAAACGTGAGCTGCTTGCTTTGCATCAAGACCCAAGTAAGATGTTACCTCTTCTAGAAGGTTCACCCAGTCTCTCCAGTGAGAGCACGGGACTCCCTCCTCTATGCATCTCATACCTCCCACACCCCTGTGTGACGATTCATGCCCCCATCCCCTGTCCCCACCCTGGCCTCTCAAACCACACTGAGCACCCTGAAGACCAAGGTATCGCTCATTGTGGAAATTCCATTCTCTGTCCCAGGTGGAAGCGCCCTGGACATTTGCTCCGGAAAGAAAGGTGAGCCGGTCACAGCCCCAGCCTCCCAGGAGTGCACACGCCATTCAAGAAATAAGGCAGGCTTGGGACTCAGAGACCTAGGTCCCATCGAGGCTCCACCCTGCCCCAGCTGTGTGACCCAGAGCAAGTCCTCTGCCGCTCGGAGCTTCTGTTTTTCCACCTGTCATCACAGCTTCCCTTTCACAAGCTTATCATTTCACAGAATAAAGGGGCTGCTGTGTGGAAAGTTCTGGCACATAGTTGGTGCTCCCTGGCCGTGTCTTACCTGCCCTGTGCAGACGCAGCGCCTCCAGGAGGCAGGACCCCGCAAGCTGCACCCTCAGCGCAGTGATGTCCAAGGGCAGAGGGGCGCCTGTCCTGGGCTCGTCTCCCCCAGGCTGCGGGGGGGTCAGAGGCCCCTGTCCGCCTCTGCTCTCCCCCACGGGGCCCGGCACAAGGCAGTGGATGAAGTGTAGCTGAGACCGTCTGATCATGCTGGTCAGCGCATCCTAGGACCAAGAGGAGAGGGGGGTAAAGGCCTGCTGTCCGGGGGCACGATGGGCAGGGATGCTCCCCAAACGGACATCCATTCCGCCGAGCCTGGGCACCTTTGGGGGGTTCCTGTGTCCTACACCCAGGACCTCCTGGCTGCAGCCTGACTCACTCATGAGAAGAAGGGGAACTTTATAACAGCTCTTCTGACGGAGGGGGAAACTGAGGCATAGCAGAGGCAAGCAAGAGGGCCCTGGGTCACACAGATCCCTGGCTAGAACCCAGGACCTGCTCCGACAGGCCCTTCCGGCATAATATGCTAGTAGGATGTTTTCAAAGCCTGCCCTTCCATGTTCCAGTTTCTGGAGCCAGCTGACCACTGAGCCATCAAAGCGCTCCCGCTGGTTACTGGAGTAACGTGTCAAGGTCACGTATTGGCACCAGCTGTGGCATCCTGCAGCCCTCCCCGGGGAGAGCCTAGTGATGAGAGCATATGCCTTTGAGAGTCGAGGAAGGGCTGGCCCCCCTTGGATACTTGTCACTCTGGTCGAAAAGGCCTTGGGGATTCCTGAGAGCTTCCCAGAGCTGCTCGAGGCAACCTCGAGTAGCCCAGGCTTCGGAGAGGTCACCCCCCAAACCCCGGGATCTGACGGTGGACGTTGCTTGGCTGCTCTGAGCCTCATCTGCCTCCTCTGTGGAGCACAGGGGGCACCTGCCCCCCCCCCCGGCTTGCTGAGGAGGTTGGAGGGGACTCCGGTGGGCAGCCCATCCCGGAGGAGGGCAGGGAGCGTGGCAGAGGAGGCCACGGGGACAGGCTCCCGCTCACCATCTGCAGCTTGATCTGGGAGCACGGGGCTTTCCTCTTGACCGCGGCGAGGCTGCTGGCAAAGGCCTTCCTCACCGTGCGGCTCCTCTGCAGGGCCTGCTGGGAGGCGCCCTCCAGGCCGGCCACGGCCCGGCACACGGGGGGCAGCTTGGCCCGGGCCCGGAACAGGCTCCTCAGGTCCTCCCTGGAGGGTAGCAGGGGGAAGAGAGGCGGACTCAGGGGCCGTGGGGAACGGGCCCACCCTGCTTCTTGCTAATCCGCTTCCCGAACGCCCCCTCGAATCACACGTCCTGGCTGCTACGCTTTTATCCTTTGCTTGGTGGCAAACGCCGCCTCCTTCTCCGTGCCTCTCCCTCCACTGGCCTTAGAGCAGTGAGAGCAGCAGGAGGGTCTATGGGACATTCTTGTCACTTATATACCTGCCGGGACCCAAGAGGGGGACAGAGAGAGGATCCCAAGCAGGGTCCACACCGTCGGCACGGCGCCCGATGCGATGCGGGGCTCCAGCCCACACATGGCCAGATCATGGCCCGAGCCGAAATCAAGAGTAGGACGCTTAACTGACAGAGCCGCCCAGGCGCCCCTGCCTGGACTTAGCACCATCGCCTTGGTCCTCCCCCGAACAGGCCCAGCACGTAGTAGGTGCTTCCTATAAAGTTCATGCAAGAGTGAGGAATCCACGGGCTGAACGGGCGGTTTCTGAACCTGCACCGGCCTGAAGCGAGCGGGGGACACCGCCTCCCCCCCACCCCCGCACTCCCGTACGCGCAGGTGCAGGGCAGTAAGGGCTCCGAAGGCTGGACAGACCCTCCTGCGCCCTTGGGTGAGGCTGGGACCCGGAGGACGCCGCCTGCCGCCCGGGTCCCCTCGCCCCATCCCCTCCAGGGGAAGGACCCACGCAGCTTCCATCGCTGTCCGCTGTCCACAAGTCCTGGCTGCCCGCCGGCCACAGCCTTGATGCCTCGCTCCCTCCCTCCCTCCTGACGCCACGCTCCCTCCCTCCCTCCCTCCTGAGCCACGCCCCTCCCTCCCTCCCTCCTGAGCCACGCCCCTCCCTCCCTCCCTCCTGAAGCCACGCTCCCTCCCTCCCTCCCTCCTGAGCCACGC